TTCTTACAGAGGAAACCATTTCTAGGCTAAAGTACCAAAACTGATACATGTCAGTACTACTGAAATGACAAACCACAAACTCTAGCAATGATGCATCAAATATTTCCATCATGTCAGTTTTCAGAACTCTACATGTTGATAAATGTACATTGTTTTACACCCAGTAATACAATATAGCAGATTAAATCCACAAATCTTAGCTAAACACTGTTTGATATATGTTTATACATTTATTGCCCATATGATATATACAGGAGATCTTAGCACAGAGACCATACCTTCCAATAAACATGTCCTGCTGCAGAAGTTCTAATGTTAGATATTGAATAAATTTAATATGGTCATGGCTGTGACACTCCTTTGGGAAACTCTCACTTCAAGTATGCCAGCTAAGGATAGTTGCATGATAGGAAAATTTGCCAATCATTCAACCATCCAATGCGTTTTCTTACAAAATTCTGTATTTTGTACTTCTCTGAAATCTCCACATAAGAATGCTATGGTGATTATGTTTACATCACACTTAAGAATCTTGAAATTTCAGTTTCTTAAATACCTTCAATTTTAGGCCGACAGCACATCCTAGTGGGTACTCACACTATTCCATGGCTTTTAAACTATACTTCAGTCACAGCTGCATAAATACTCCTGTGGCATCCTTCAGTGCATGTCCTTTTCTTCCTTCCCTGTATGGAATAACAAAGAATGAAGTTAGGAATTTGGAAGTATGTGCCAATTAACAAAACTGAGATAATTCAGGAACACAGCAGACGTTATAATTGGTTCCATATATCTTTTAAGCAAAAACGTGCTTCTGAATATGCATAATTTTAACCAATTTTAGGCAGAACTGTAGTGTAGTTTGTAGGAAAAAACAACTTCAGTTTCATAGGGGCAGATTTACCTGGGAAATATGAGCCTAGTAATATGTGCATATTACTAAATACTAGGCTAATCAATAAAACTATATATATACTAAGCAAAAATCCATCTATTACAGCATTTTAATGAGCAGCTTTGTCAGTCAAGCATGCAGCACAATCAGAGAGCTGTCTGTTGAAGCAGACAAAAATGAAGAAAAAATGGAAAGCAAATGCTGTTTGTCACATTTTATAATAGTCTCATTTAGAGATTTTTAAACAATCTCATATGGGAAGGGGATACACACAGAGAAAATCTTCAAGATATTTTGTCCCAAATAAGTTCACGATCTTGCATAGCTGCAAAACTTTCAGCATATTTTTCTCTCTGGTACTGTCATATTCATGACATATATTTTCCATAGGAAAGATGAGGTGACGTGTGTCTCTTAAAGAAGCACACTTGCGAATGGAGTGCTGTATCCTTAACAGGCACCAAAATAAGCTGAATTTTGGTGAAAGGGGGTTTGTGGGGACATCTTATGAGGAGCACCTAAGAACTCCATGATTGTATAGTCTGGAAAAACAGAGGCTGAAGGGTAATCCCCTTAATCTCTAAAGCTTCCTGAAGAGGGGGAGTAGAAAGAGAGGTGCTGATTTATTTTCCCTGGCCTCCAGTGATAGGAGAGCTGGGAATGGTTCAAGTTGCCTCAGGGTAGGTTTAGACTGGACATCAGGAAGCATTGCTTTACCAAGCGAGGAGTGAAACACTGGAGCAGGATCCCTGGTCAGTTGGGTTGATAGCCCAGGCCTGTCAGTGTTTCAGAGGTGTCTGGACAAGGCCTTTAATAATATACTTTGAAGTTTTGGTCAGCACTGAAGTTGTCAAAGAGATGATTGTTGTAGGTCCCTTGCACATGAAATACTTCTATTCTATTCTATTCTATTCTATTCTATTCTATTCTATTCTATTCTATTCTATTCTATTCTATTCCATTCCATTCCATTCCATTCCATTCCATCCCATTCCATTCCATCCCATTCCATCCCATTCCATTCTATCACTTGCCTGCTGAACACCTGTAATAATCAGCAGGAAGCACACATCTGCAGTAGAACCTGATACCATGCAGGAAGAAAGACAGTGACCCTTCTGTACTTGGGTTCACATATTTCTTTCACCTTCTTGAATCAGTTTCAGTTGTTCCAGGGCAATTTTATCACCTGATAAATTTTTGGTATTTTGTTTATGGTTAAAGTGTTTAAATATTACAGAAACAGATTTTCTGCTACTAATATGTGGCTTTTCCAAAGGCTCGAAAATCAGAAGTCAGTTAAAATTATTCCCATTTTTTAGTTCATGGTCTTCTGCTGCCTGACTCACGTTCGATGTATTACTGCCAGTGCTAACGTCTTAATTTGTCTGAGAGGAAAAGCTGCCCAGAAACAGTCCCTGTGCCCCACCTACAGGCGAATCCATCATTCCCTGTAACGCTGTGCAGGTCTCAAAAACTCTCTGCTGAGAAGGAAAGCGAAAGAAGGGAAAGGCTCCAGCATTTTCAGCTTTGTTAGCAACTCCAGCTGGGTACATACACTGTGTTTTAAAGCTGTAGTTGCAAGGTGAGAGATAACAGAAGGGTTTTTTGTCAGTCCCCAAACACTTCCTAGATGAGAGTGGCTGTTACAGCAGGTACAGCCTAAGCAACAATACTGCCCATTTTCTGGAATAATTTCCATACCAGAGTTCAGGAATCCTTGCTGTAAATAAAAGTTAACAGAAGGACTCCTCAGTAAAAATCGATTAACTTCTCAACAGAAGGACGGACACATAATATGTAAAGTAGAAAAGGTGCTCTTCAGGTAATACTATTTGCTAGAAATAAATATATTTTTATGCTTAATGAAAGAATTTTTAGTTGGAAGGGACCTCTGGTCATGGTCCATATAACAGTTTTCTTTCTTCACAGATGATGGGGTATGGGAGGGATTTGTTTCCATAAACTTTGTCAGGCAGAAAATTTTTATTGTTGAGGTGTTGAGCAACAACTTTTTCCACCATATTTTGTTCCCATATTATTATGGCAGCAATTTTATTTCCATGAATGCCATAATCTGAATGGCTGAGGTTTGAAAGGACCTATGGAGGTAGCTAAGAAGTCCCCAGCTAATTAACATGCACAAGGCAGTGACCAAAAAAAAAAAAAAAAAAGCTGCATCTAAAGTTACCACCCAAACTACTGCTTACAGATGCTTCTAGATCCAAAACCCAGTCACTCTCTTCCCTGATCACCCCAAAAAGAAACAAGGAAGTAATCAGGATGTGGTGGCAGCATTTCCGTAATAAAGATCCATTTCTTATAACTGATGACAGCCTTCGGACAGAAATAATGATGGAAAGGAAAAAAGAAATTAAACTGAATTTTTAACTTTCAATAAGTTTTAATAAAATGAAATAAAAACGCTCTGGAAAGGTTGGTATTGTGAGTAAGCACCAGAGAGGAGAGTGGCCTGATCAGGTGTTTGTTGTTGGATGTGATATCAAAGAGCTGGCAGTAAGACCACTATAATTGAGGGGAAATCTGTGGTTTTTCACTGTAGGAGAACTTGAATTTAATCTTTACTGTCCACCTCACAGGGAAATTATGATCAGACAAATGCAGATGCACAGTTATTACCATGCATCTGCACTTCCATAGCACAAAGCAAGAACAAAAAATGATGAAACCTATGAAACAAATGGCATACAAATAAAAATATAATTCATGAATAATAAATACCACATAGTTTTCCAACCACAATTATAAAATACTCCATTTCCTTTGCCATTTTAATTTAGTACATTTTTATGGGGTTCCATATGGTAAGGAATAATCCCAGTTTATTATATTTTGACAGAACTCTCCTGTAAATAAATTTGAAATTCATGAGAGCAGAATGTACATAATGATTGACACCAACAATAATTCACATCACTCTTTCCAGCAGCAGGGAATGGTGCTAGCACAGTTGATATCTGCAAGTTCTGGGGAATAGCTTTGTTAATCTTTCTCTAGTATTAGAAGCCCTAATAGTGCAGGTGAACTCTTGTCGATTTGGTTTTAACCAATATTTCACAAGCAGATTTTTGCTGAAAAGCAGGAAGAGTATTTGTGTTCTGGAGATGGAATCAGTGCCGCACAGAGCTGCTCGCTCACTGACAACCCACACAACGCTGGGGAAACAGACCGCTTCTCTTGCATGTCAATCACAGCTTTTCCACAGAAATACCGCATCCTGCTCCTTAGTACCTCTTCATTCATGGGGGTTCATCCAGCACGTTTTAGTGACGCCTCAAAGTAAAATCTCGCAAGGATCTGGAGCTGCAGTTCCTTGGACATTTGGCAGAGTTATCATCTGCGGTCCTAACTCAGCTCCTCACCTGAGGGCCTGTGTTTGCCACTGACTACTACGGGCTCGGCTGGCAATTTAGCAGCTTTTACACGGCACTTCCAAAACACGAAAACAAACGCTCAACAAACAGTGGAAGTTTAACACCTATTTTGCATTATTGGTGCGCCCGCTGGAGTCTCCACGTCTCGGCTACGTCGCACTCCTCTCCTGGCACTCTGAGGGGCGGCTCTGCAGGGCACTGCTCACCCCCCACCCCGGGCGGCTCTCAGGGGAGGTGTTTGAGGGCAGAGGCCGTGCTGAGCAGCGCAGTCAGAGCAGCGGCTCCGCTGTACCGGCACCGCTGCCATTCCCGCACATTCCCCGGCTCCCGTTCCCTCAACTCCAGCCGCTCCGGGAACACGGCCCAGCCCACTGCCGGCGGCGGGGGGGGCGGGGGGGGGGGGGGGGGATGGAATACACCAACCCTCCCGGAGCTGGGGGGGGGCCGCGCAGTTCCCCCGGCAGTCCCCGATGGGCGGGGCAGCGGTGATGGGCAGGGCGCGAAACCAATCAGAGAGGCCGGCAGGGCGGGGCGGGGCAGCCGGAAGCGGCGCTTGGCGGAAGCGCCGCGGGGGCGTGAGCGGGGCAGGGCTGGGCTGGGCTGGGCTGGGTTGGGTTGGACTGGGAGCGCCGGGGCGGGACGGGGCCGAGCCGGGATACGGAGCCGAGCCGAGGTACGCATTTGCTTGGCCGGGATACGGAGCCGAGCACCGGAGCTGAGGCGGCGGCCTCGCCGGTGATGCGCACTCCGCAGGGGCTGCCGGCCCGCTGAGGTCGGTGCGAGGAGCGCCGGCGGCGGCGCCGCGGCCATGCCGTGCACATGCGGGAACTGGCGGCGATGGATCCGGCCGCTCGTGGTGCTGCTCTACATCGTGGGGCTGCTGGTGGTGGTGCCGCTCTGCGTGTGGGAGCTGCAGAAGCTGGAGGTGAGGGGCGCGGCCGGGGGCGCCGGCAGCGGGCTCGGCCCCGGCAGGGCTGCGGCGGGGAAATGTGTTACCTCATCAGTGTATAAAAGTATCGAAATCAAGGGTGCCAGGAGAATGAACCAGGCTGTGCTCGGTGGTGCTGGACAATTAGGACCAGAGGCAATGGGCAGAAACTGATACACAGGAAGTTCCACCTGAATATGAGGAAGAACTTCTTTACTGTGCAGTGATCACACACTGGAACAGATTGTGCAGAGAGGGTGTGGAGTCTCCTCTGCTGGAGATATTCCAGAACCATCTGGACACAATCCAGTGCCATGTGCTCTGGGGTGACCCTGCTTGAGCAGGGAGGTTGGACCAGGTGACCCAGGCTGGTCCCCTCCGACCTGACCCATTCCCTGAAAGGAGAGGCTGGAGAAGTGCCATGGTGGTGCTATACACATTTGTCCTGCTGCTAAAGCCCTAGTGAACTTCGAAGGAACAGGACAGTGTTTCTTCCCCTTCTTTTTCCATAATAGTTGGTGTTTGAACAGTTGTACAATACTGAAGAAATTCGAGTCAGCCGGGAGTCAGAGAATGACAAAATAGGTCAGGTTGGAGGGGACCACACTGGGTCACCTGGTCCAACCTCCCTGTTCAAGCAGGGTCACCCCAGAGCACATGGCACTGGATTGTGTCCAGATGGTTCTGGAATATCTCCAGCAGAGGAGACTCCACACCCTCTCTGCACAATCTGTTCCAGTGTGTGATCACTGCACAGTAAAGAAGTTCTTCCTCATATTCAGGTGGAACTTCCTGTGTATCAGTTTCTGCCCATTGCCTCTGGTCCTAATTGTCCAGCACCACCAAGTAGAGTCTGGCTCTCTCCATAAGTTCATCCCAGAACTTAGATTTTGAAACTTAGTACCAATGCTGGCATTCATAAAGGTATTTCTGTCGGTTTTGGGAGAATCTAGCAGAGCATCTCTACAGATAGAGAAGCTCTTCTTTCATGCTGGTAGTACCATAACTGTGGTGTGTGAACACCACATATGTGACACACACATATGATTGCATCACTTCTCTAACAAGAAGTAAAATTTTAACCTTAAAATGCATGTATTGTTCAATGTGGCACAGGCCTGTGCCCCTGGAGGTATGCTTTTTCAGGGTATAATTTTCAGGACTTAATGACAGTAAGATCTGTCTTGAATGTGTTTAAAATTTTCAGGTTTGAATTCCTCTTCTGATGCATAATGCATGTTCAGCATAATAGATGTTTATACCATTAAGTCTGATACTTGTAGAGAAACTGATCAGAAGTAAAACTAGAAAACAACAGGACACATGGGATGTTGATGTAAAATAGGGGATCAGAGAAAAGATTCTCATCAAAGGAAACTGAGAAGAGTCTCTTATGTTTCTCAGGTTTTGGTACTTAGGGTTATTAGTTGTTTTCCAGAAAGCTTTGATTTAAAATTTCAGCCCTGTGTTTTAGCAGGCGTTGTGGTTTTATGTATCTACATGCATGTCTGTTTCAGTTTGTTAAATGAAAACGAACTGATTTCTACTTGGAACTTGATTTTAAAGCTAAAAAGTCTTCAAATCCACAGGTTTTCAGAAACTTCATAATGCAGCACTGAATCAAGATAAGTTCCACACACAAAGCAAGGAATCTGTTGTGGGTTTCAGTAAATTAAGTACTGGGCATTACTCTTTTTTTTGTGGAATATTTTGTTTACTTGTAAATACGTGAAAGTATTAAGACTGAAACTTTGATCTTGCAAGGTTGGAATTCATACCAAGGCATGGTTTATCGCTGGGATATTTCTGCTAATGACTATACCAATATCTCTCTGGGGGATACTACAACACTTAGTCCATTATACTCAACCTGAATTACAGAAACCAATAATAAGGTAATATTTCACGTTTTACCTATGCTACAAATATAGGATTTAATTCAGACTAAAAATCCTTTTAGTAATATAAAATGTTCTTTTGTTGTTGTAACAGGATTCTGTGGATGGTGCCGATTTACAGTTTAGACAGTGTAAGTGTTCTCTTGCTGTTACCAGCTCAACCAAATTCTGTTTGTTGTGGGAGGGAGGGAAAACAGTCACGGCAGAAACTCTGCTGCATGGGGAGGGCTAGTCCTGGAAACTTCTGGGCATTCCTGTTTATGGAACATAGTTCATACCACATTCTTCTGGATATGTGGGGTTGCTTTTGATAACCTTTCTTAAGCCTGTCCTTGAGTATCCTTTACGATGGATGTGGAGACAGAAGCCTGGCTTTTCCCCTTCCATCTTAATAACAGAGGCAGAAACTGGACTGATCCAAGTACTGACTCAAAATTCAGTGCTGTACCTTCCCTAGCCAAGTTAGTTTACTACTAGAATTCTTTCCTGAGTTATGCTTGGTGCTAAAATGATTCGTTTTTGGTTCGGGGGACAAAGGATTATATCCTTTGCAGAGTGTAACAGCAGTGTGATACTTAGAAACTGAGAGCTCTGACAGCTGATCCATAACCAGAGTTTCACTAAAACTAAAAAATCCGTTTTTGGTCTGAAACTCAAAAGAGTTGGCTACTACAGTGGTGGAATCTGAAGTTCTGTGTGTGCTATTTTGTAGCTGTAGCTTTGCCCTCCCGTTAGCCCAGTGCTCCCAGCCCTGTGTGATCAGTGCCTGCTGGCTCAAGAGTTTGCTGAACCAGTGTTGTCGTGTGAATCCCTTTTGTCTTTCTCGCACGTAACCTTTTGTGTACCTCTCTTCTTGCAGTGGATAGCTTTGAAATACCCCAAGATTGCAATATATGTGGATACATGTCGAGAATGCTATGAAGCTTATGTCATCTATAACTTTATGGTTTTTCTTTCAAATTACTTAACCAACCGGTACCCAAACCTCGTGTTAATAATAGAAGCGAAAGATCAGCAGAGGCATCTGCCCCCTCTCTGTTGCTGTCCGTCGTGGGCTATGGGAGAGTGAGTATATTATGGCATCTTCAAGCTTTAAGCTGTTTAGGCAGATCCAAACGTTTTGTTTTCATATTTAGCAGCTTAACTTTTGCTGCTTGACAGAGTCAGTTTATGGTTTGTATGTGTTTGATCAGCTGTGAACCTCTGCTGAAAGCAGCTGTGGACAAGTGACAGTCAAGCTATAAAACATCCTGTGACTTAGTTACTAACATGCATTGATTGATTCAGGGGAAGGAAGGAAACTTCCTTATTTGTCTCCTGCAATCTGCTTCTTTTGCTATCATGAAATATTTGCCACAAACCTCATGTGGAATTGGGAGTAGACTAGGTAGCCTTTTGTTTTTACTTCAGGTGAAGGGTGAAAAGCCTTGTGCACCTAAACTGTTTATTTCTGAATACTTAAACTGAAAAAATCTCTCTCTCTCTTTAGAGATTTTGATAAAGCTGTTTGGGGTGAGGGGAGGGAAAGGTGGGCTTCAATGGTCAGTGCTTATTTTTACAGTTTGCCATAGTGGGCAGAGAGCTTTGGTTCTCTTAAATGTTTAGGGCAATTATCATGATTTTTAAGTTTCTTACATTTAGATTAATAGTTTTTCTTAATCTTCAAAAACAGCAAAAATTGCATTCTCTTTGTTTAGCCCAGCCAGAAGCTTTTCATGGCTAAAATAAGTGAATCATTGAGTATTTCCTGTAATGTGTCTGTAAAAACCCAGCTGTTCTGTGTATTTTGTGTATACACACTGTAGGCTGTAACATCTGAAGTCCTGGATGCAGAAGTTGAAGTTACCATAAAATTAAAATTTACCTTAGTAAATCTACTGAGAATAGGAATCTTCCTTAAGTGAATTGCATTTAAGTCCTTGTACAATGAATTTTGTGTTTCTCTTTCAGAGTTTTATTATTTAGATGTAAACTGGGTGTTTTGCAGTACACTGTTGTCAGACCATTTACTACCATTATTGCTTTGTAAGTACAGTGATAAATAATTAATATTGATCTTCAGGATATGAGTTACACTGGAAAGAATTTTCATGCCCTTTGTATTGGATCAAGGCAGTTTGAAAGCAGACTTGTGTTACATGCTAAATGAGTTCCAACAATTTGAATCAACCTACGATTTCTTTATGACTTCTCTATAGCAAATTACTATTTGCAGAATGGAAATCATAAATACTTAATGCCAGCTTCCATAATCAGTGGGATAGAATGTGAAATACTGTTGGGGTGGGAAATGCATTTTTATGATCTCTTAGTTTTTAGATTTTTTTTTTCCTCCTCCCGTTTTTAATTTACTTCAACAATTGAGTATTTTTAAAGGCAGGTTTCATGTAACTTTTAAAATTGTTTTAAATTCTGCATCTGACAAGTTTGACTATGTGCCTATCATACATATGTATGTACATATCATACAGCCTGTGACAGTTGGCACTCATGCATGATGATGCTGAAAGCTTAATTTCATGAGTTTTGCATTGATGGTCATTACTGTTAATTCTGTGGACTGTGGAAAAAGTCGCTACTCATAATGAATATCCATATAAATATTATTATATTTTTTATATTTACATATATATTTGAGCTGCTGGAAACTGACTCTTGTGCAGGCCCCCAGTGCCCATATTTGAGTACCAGAAGAGGTTTTGAATTCTAAGGGTGGATGGATACAGTGAAGATGTAGCACTTGAGGGAAGTGATCTGTTACTCTCTAGTGATTAATTCTAAAAATTCTTCCAGAATTTGTGAACTAGTGGGAGTGTATGATGAAGGAAACTTCAGCTTCAACAATGCATGGACTTACCTGGTTATACTCAACAACATGTCACAACTAGTGAGTATCAACAGTACATCTTTCTGCTCTTTGAATTCATCAGTATTATGTGAATCTTCTATGTGAACTGCTGGCAGTGATTGTGTTAATGTCTGGTAATTCTTACAGGTTGAATATTTTCCATTGTAAAAATTGCTGTCTGTTAAATACTAAGTATGAAAAACACTGGAAAACTAGATAATCTAAAACTTTTATTACTTTTACTATGAAGCTCCTTAAAGCAAACACCTTTCTACCCCAGATTATTTGATGGGTGAGGTGGTATGGCCCAGGCATTAGAGCTGCAGACTTGCCCCTCTCTGGGAAGAGGTAACTCCACCTGCCCCTACAGCTTCCTCCCAGCACTCATACAAAGAATAAATGTTAAAAATTCTGTGTTTAAAATGTTGATAACATTCACAGGAAAAAATGAAAATGGTGTGTGCAGTGCTGAGAGTTGGTCCTGCCCAAGACCTTTTCTCATTGGGTCAGCTGTCAGATAATGTCAGGGTAAGATGTCAGCCCCTAAAATTGAGAGTTTCATTTTGGAGTCCATGGATTGGTTTTACTTCTCTTGGCAACAGCAGCAGGAGTCAGAACAGTATAACAACTGGGATAATTTGGAAATTCTGTCCTCCTCTTACTGTGTTTGATGGGTGACTGTCACTGAAGGAGCTGTAATTGCTTTCTGCTGTGACAACAGTCCCAGTCTACGTCCTGGTTGAAATGACTGGAATTTCAGGAATGAAAAAAAAAAAGAAGTGCTTGAAAACAGAAAGGCAAAGATTCCATAAAACCAAAGTCTCTTTTTTAAAAAAACAGATAGCATTTTAAGATTGTATCATAGTACGATACATACTTTAACTGTAGAGACGGTGTAACATAACTCCCTCACAAAATAGCAAGGATTTGAAAGCTTTCATTAATTTCCTTTTCCTTGTCAGTTTGCCATGTATTGTCTGGTGCTGTTTTATAAAGTACTGCGAGAGGAACTGAATCCTATCCAGCCTGTTGGAAAGTTCCTTTGTGTGAAGATGGTAGTTTTTGTTTCTTTCTGGTAAGTGGATTTTTTTACTTATTACTTCTTGCAGTTATTTCAAAACAGTTTTTCTTTTAGAAGTAAAAAATTTTACTTTTTCAAAGTAAGTTACTGTAAGTGAAATAAAAATTGCTGTTTGAGCATTGCTCACACTTAGCTGCTAATGAGGGAGTGTATTTGACTATCAGAGCATTACTCTCTGAGCTACAGCAACATCCCGAAAGAGAAGCAACTTGTTCTAATGACTGACTGGAACAATAAGCTCTGCTTTGGTTCTCTTTTCATTCTGTTGGCCTTAAGGGTCAGGGATGAATGACATCTCTTGTCAAATTTGTTTCCTCCTCTTAAAATCTTAAGTATATAAACAGAAAAGGTTTTTGTAAAGATTCTTCCTCCGTGTATATGTATGACCAGATTTGCTTGCAGATTTTTGGCACTACTGTTACAATTATAATACAAATACTTCCTATAATAATTCATCTTTATAGGCAGGCTGTGCTCATTGCATTGCTGGTGAAAGTTGGTGTTATTTCTGAGAAACACACCTGGGACTGGCAAAGTGTGGAAGCTGTGGCTACAGGATTACAGGTAGGAGCAGATGGCCATTTCTGGGGAGGAATGGTTATATGTAAGATGACATACCTGATCTCAAGAAAATATTATCATACTGTAATTAAGACAGGCTTGATTAGTAATGATTTATTTTAAGCTTGGCTAAGTTTCAGCCAGTGAGCCCATGTGAATTTTATGCTCAACACTTCTATAGCCATGTATTGGGCAGAAGGAATGTGCTCCAGTGAAATATGTCTGGATAGCCTTGCATTTCTTCTTGCAGGTATTCATTGTAGAGTTGCTGCTTGTTAAATTACCTGTTTAAGTCCAAGTCCTGTATGTATGGCTCTCTGAAAGCTGCCAAGAATATCCGGGTGGAAAAGTAGCTGATGTCAGTATCTCAGGGCAATCGCACCCTTTCAGTTGTAGAAATAACCCAGAACTATTTTTCTCCATTTATGAATGATTAAGTCAATGTCTCTGTCATTGCAGGATTTTATCATTTGTGTGGAGATGTTTCTGGCTGCTATTGCACATCACTACAGTTTTTCCTATAAACCTTACGTTCAAGAAGCTGAAGAAGGCTCATGCTTTGACTCCTTCCTTGCAATGTGGGATATTTCTGATCTAAGGGCAGATATCTCTGAACAGGTTCGAAATGTGGGTAAGTTAACAGACAAGATGTGTACAATCTGTCAACAGCATCTGTATTTCCAACTTCGTGTCACACAATTGCTTACCTTTACAGTAGCCTGAGAAATTCTATTACCAAATCAGTGGCAGCTGCATCCCTAGAGGATTTAACGGTTTATATGGCACTTTTTTCTTTCCAGAATTCCTGACTGATTTAGAGTCTAGTTTTTAATTTTTCTTTTAAAAAGATAAAAGGTAGGTAAGTAAAGGAATGTACTTTGTTTTTCTCTTAAATGGAAAGACATACTTTCCTTTATTAAAACTAACAATACCCCTGTAAAACCAATACAAAACACTCACCTTCTAATTTAACATGGCTGTTTTAGAGTTGATGTGTTCAAAGACTGGTGTTGGAAGGATTAAAAAATCTTTTCATTTTGCATAATTCTAGGGAGGACAGTTTTGGGCCAGCCAAGGAAAATGTTTTTTGCTGAGGATCATGAACAAAATGAGCATACCAGTTTACTGTCTTCATCTACTCAAGACCCAATTTCTGATGCTTCTTCAATGCCATCTTCACCCATGGGTCACTATCAGGGGTTTGGACACACTGTGACCCCTCTCACAACACCGACCACAGCCCCTGCAGTCGATGGGCTTTTTAACCCTTCTGCCAGTCAGGATGCTGAGGAATCACCTGAAGTAGAGAACAACTTAGCAGAGAAAGCTTTGGACAAAAGTTAAACTCGCCTTTTCTTTCAATGTGTCAAGGAATCATCATGTACTTGGCTCATGTGTCCTGTTAACATGTACTATTAAGGATGAAAGTTGAAAAGCCTGAGAAAGCTGCTGCATGGACAGGAAGAGGATATGGTATGGCTGTAACTGACATCTGAATCCAGAATCTGCAATGGATGTGAGCATCTGTGAGTACCCCATGGATATGAAACACGCACACTGTAAAGGTTTCTGCATAAATTTAAGCATCATCTCCTTAAACTGCTAAATGCTTCCACATCATATCAAAATTACACTGGATTTCATTAGTGCAAAAGAAACATTTGAAAAAAACCCTCTGCTCATATAAAAATGAAGTGCAAGTACTACTAGCAATGGGAAAGCCTAATTTCAAGAATGTAATTTAAGGAGAGCAGTAGCAAAAACTGTTTGTGTTAACTTGGTTTGTCTTAATGATGGTTATCTTCCATACCCAGTGCTGAATGGAGTGTGGGATGAAATTATAGCTTCTGTACAGATGCCACCTTCTTCCCATTCCTACATAGTTAAATCAAATCCCTTCATGAAGATGCATAGTAAAGAACCTCTACAAAGAAAACATTCCCTGCAGGCCTTGCTCTCAAAGTCCATGCCCAGATCATATGGTTGGTGTATCTGTTGTCCTTGAGGATCATAGTTTGTAAGTCTTTTATATCCAGAAGAGACAGCCAGGATGGTAAGTTTTGGATTAATACTTTACCTTGACTATTCTTTTCCCTAGCCTTCTAAAATAAGAATAACGGTTACTACATTAAAATACATGGAGGGGGAATGAAGGATATTGAAAAGGAAGTAGAAAACAAAACTGATTTCTTTATTTTGGGCTGCAATAAGTTCTTTAACACTTAAGTTTTTTTTAAGCTGTTAAAGCAGGATATCTTGTGTCTGTAGTAATTTGTGTTCTTAAATTTGTGTCTGTGTGTGATTGTATTATGCTTCTAGTATAGCCTGGATTCAAATGTAATGGCTGTTTTTTCCCCCGGAGAAGACCTTTGCTGAGGTAAAGCTTTGTAGCTAGTCTACTACTGGAGTTACTAGGACTAGATTTCAGCCCAAGAAGCAGTACACTTGTATAAAAATATTACTTTGCAAAAACTGACAATGTCAGAGAGGTACTGTTTTTATCCCATTATCAGATTTTTACTATTATTGCATGTTTGCAATCTGACAAAAAAAACCCCAAACCAGTAGAGCACTACTTTTTAAACGACAAGATCTTAGGTTTCTTTTTCAGCATTGTTAGCATTTCCAGGATAAATGTTTAACTTCTGGCTGTCAGTAAATTCATCTTAAGTGCTTTTTTTGCAGTACTAGTGTGATGTAAATATTGCGCCTTACTCACTAGGCTGCATATTTTATAGCTGAGTATGTACTTGCTGTATCTGAAGTTAGTGAGAAAGTGAAAATCATGATTTTCAATTTGCCAACTCATTGCCTTGGTTGTAAATAAGCAAATAAAGATTTTATTTAAACTGTACACCTTCTTTTAATTTGATTTACTGCTACAGTAATTTAAGAGTGTGAATGACACATGACTACAAGTGTCCTCTTGGAAGAAAAGGATCTTAAGTAGAACTAATGCAAGAATTTGTGCTTTCAGTATTTCGTGGCTTGTACTGTAAAGGGAATTCTTGTTTGGGCTTATGAAGAATCAGAATCTTCTAATCCATGCTTGATCCCAGGTATCACTTTATGCATGTCATAGCTTTGCTCTAAAAGGAAACGACTTGTACAGGTTCACACTGCATTGGGACCTCAGTGCCCACAGCAGCCACTACAACCTGATTTCCTGCATGAATACAGGTAGAAAGGGGCAGGGGTAGGACCAATATCTGAGGGAGCAGGGCTGCTGCAAGCAGAGTAGCTACTGTGCTCTAGCTCTTCAAAAACCTCACCCTGAGGAATTTTTTTTTCATACTTGAAGTTATGTCTTTTGGGTGTAAAAGTATGGTTCAGAGGGGACCTTGATAGGAAAACAGCTATTTAAGTGTCTTGGTTACTTCTTTCAGAGTATTTATTGAAAGCTACTAAGTTATTTTATTATTATTCAGTTATTCTATTTGCTCTATATAATATTCCTGCTTGTTTGTTTTTTCCTGGGAGAAAAATTATTTTTTTAATAGCAGTAGCTTATAAGATCATACCTTTCCCTAGAGTCTGCTACTGAATTTAAAAAATAAATAGAAATCTTGCCATGATAGCTAGCCTGTCTTTTGAAAACTACTCCCACAGTACTCCACAGCATAACTTACACAATTATATAAAAAGTTCATTTGCTAATAGTTAATTTCCTGTTAACTGTATTTATTCCTCTGCTATTTCATGCCAAATCTCCTCCCAAGTTTTTTAATCAGAAGTCTTAAGGATTGCTCTTGCCTTACTCAAGGAGACTAGAATGTCTTTCATTTGTCTTGAAGTCATTTTGCTTTCATATTAATTACTAAAATCTTAATAAATACACCTAACCCACTCGCTAAGGTTTTTGTTTTTATCCGAGGTCTTCCTGCACAAGAAACCTTTCCTATAAAACTGCACTTGGGTGAAATCACCACATATCTGCCAGGTTTAGTTGTGTCAGACTAACTTAAAATTTTATGGATCACGGTTTTAGGTTCTGGGTTTAAGAAACACTGTTTTTTTAAGTAGCATCAAAAGCCTCTGTCCTACTCTTAATTCACTTGCATTTCATTATACATTGTACCCCTTGGATAACGGATGGTATCCAGTTACTTTCAGAAAACATGACTTTGTGCCTCTGCCTTGGAAAAAATAAAATGGAGATGTTTCCTCTACCCTTCCAAAATGAGCTTTATTACAGCAATTTATCAGGTGCAGGTTCAGCTGAGGCTGGGCCAACCACAGCACTAACAGTCCCTGAAGTTAAACTGAGCAAACTTCATAGAAATAAATAGGAATTGATAGATAGAAATAAGTTAAGGTTTGATCTAATGAAGAGTCTGTAAGAACTTCAGCAGGCCCAGAACTTCTAGAAGAATCATTTTTGGATGGCTCATTATACAGGCTGCTGTTAAACAAAGATCAGAGAATTGCCTCTTCTCCACTGAACAGAGTGCACGGTAAAAAGCAGCTTAGCTACAGAAAAATCTTGCTAACAGTCTTCCTCCTCCTCTCTGCAGAGGTAAAATCAGTGCTGAGTTCAAAACTTTTATTAGTCTTCCACTTGTATACAAATTTAATAGAAGGAACTGGTTACCTGCATTAAACCAAGATGTAATACTACAGAAGATAGTCAGGAGCACTGCAGTGGCTGATGTATTTTATACAATTTTCTACAGACAAGTTAATGCCCATTGTGTTCCTAGACAAGTTCTCTGGGGGATTCTAAAAAGTTTACCAGTTTTACCTTCTGTTATATAGCTTGAGTTACTCAACAGCACTCCTCTACAGCTTTTCACAATGCTCTGTGTGCAGCCCTGATTTGTGATAGTGCAGCTGGAATGCTGCTCAGTCCTCCCACACGGGTAACATCTCCATCCACTGATGTAGGAGGCTCTGGCAGCTGAGAACTGGAATCACACTTTGACAAACAAGGATTCTATCCCAAACAGCCACAGCTGTTTACTGCTGGTACAGGTGCCTGGATGACTTTTTCCCTCCCTACAGCAGACCTGGTAGCAGGACTCTGTCCCACTGCTGCAGTCACTACACAAGCCAGCAATCAGCTTTGTGCTACAGTAAAAACAACTCCTCAAACTGCTTGAGAAGATACCCTTACAAATTTTAGTCCACCAGAGGAACCTAAATATCTATTATAAAAACAACAAATCAGATTTTTTGATCAGTAAATAAAATTTAGACTTTAATACAAAGTAACAGCAGTGTTGTTCTGAACAGTCAGTTTATGCATAGGTAATTACACAGGACATTCTTCACCTTTTAACTGAAATGCTGATATTGCTTTTATGGTGTTGGACATCAAGTACAAGTTCATCTCCAACCTGAACTGGGATGGGCTCATCCAGAACAACTGCAGCTTGTTTCCAGTGTGAGGACTCATCAGATGTGTTCAAGCTATGGTCTTCATCTAGATGGATGTGATACCAGAAGGGAATGGCAGTGACCCGGCCGGACTTAAAAATTTGTATCTAAAAATATTTAAAATAATTATCAGTTATACTACTTTGTTCTTTGAAAAGGAAGTAGTTCAGACCATTTCAATCCTTTTCAGAGACAGCTGCAGACAAGTAAATCCTGTATTGAAGTGTTTAGCCCACAGGAAAAGTTAAGAAGCAGTGCTGCAGAAGTGTAGTTAAATGCACTTTGGGCCCCAGAACTCACCTTCACTTCTCTGCTGGGGCTGTTCAGCAGAGGGTTCATGAGATCCAGCCTCAAGAGCTCTGCTGGCTTGCTCAAGGGTACACAAGGTAATGTGGAGAGATCCAAATACACACGAACAGGTACCTGAAAGTATAGACCAGAACTTCAGCCAGCAACAGCCATTACAGAAGGAAAAGGTAGAAAAATCCTAACACAAAAGTTGCCAGGAATTACTGGAATGGCTGTCAGAGATAGAAAAAAATGCAAAATACAGCACTCTTAATCCCTTTTGAAACATTGGAATACAATTGCCTGGGAACAGTAAGAGCACAGTCACTCTTCCTTACAGTAAATGGGACAAAACTTCCACACCAGTTCTAAAACAAACACCACCCGTTTTAGTTTATCTCAAGATTCCTGTGTGGCCACAAAAAGCTCTCTTGATAATTTCAACAGTGTTTTCTTTACAGTTCACACCAAATCTAAACAGTAAACAGCTGCAGTTTTGAAAGGATGCCTGGAAGCCACCCACCAGGTTCCTACCTTGAACTGGTTGATGAAAGGGGCTATATTAAACCCCAGGGTTGGTTCTGTTCCTTGAACAGCACTTTCCAGCAACAGAGACTCCGATTCTACAAGCATCCCATATACCAGCACATACTGTGGGAAAATCTTCCCTCCACTGTGAAGTAAACACCTGTGAAAGGAGAGGGATTTCACCTGTAAAGCTGATCAATCAACAGCAATGAAAGAATAGTTACTACATTTAAGAAAGGCACACTAGTTCTTCCTCTGAAGTCCTGCTCCTAAGCATAATGTGCCATCACGAAACAATAAAATTTCCCTAGGCCCACAAACGGGGATAAATCCATTCCACACTTAGCTACCCATTTCCATTATTTTACTTCTCTCCTGCCTTCCTTCCCACTCCTCCTGCTGTGAGGAACAGCAGCTTTGCTGCTGCCTCCCTGGCTGCTCCAACACCACGTGTTTGTCTTTTAGCAGGACCAGTTTGTTCCCACAACCCTTTGACATGTACACGAATCTGGGCTTTTCCAACCTTACACTTAAAGCTACCTTGGTTATTCTTTGCTACCTTGCAAACTTCTGACAGACCAAGGAATATGACCATCCATTTGTATTCTTGCATTAAAAAAAAGATAAAGGAATCTGAGATTGTGAAATCTTGATGCTTTTAAAAAATATATAATGTATACAATGGTCATGCCAGAAGCACTGTGAGGTTTAATCCCAGGAAAAAACCTTTTTCTACAGAAGCAATGTAACAGTAATTACACAGTTACATGGAATATTCTTAAAATTTATCAGGTAGCTACAGAGTCCTAGGAAGATTTTTGTCCTTTTATACTGTACCTGGATATTGCAGCCTTTTCCATCACTTCCTGCTGGATTAAACCTGAAGTCTCTATAACATCCAAGATAATAATACTCCACAATTTGTCTGATTTGGGTCTCTGTAGCACCACACTTTCTTCTTCTAAGTGGCTGAGCCAAAACTCTAATGTTTCCTTAGGGAAATGGTTTGCTTCTGCAATGACTTGAAGTGCTGCCTGATGCTGTTCTTTCTCAACAGAACTGTAGGCTCTAACTGGTCCAAGCTTGCCAGCTATAATTGGCAGGATGGAGAAGCCTTCAGATACATCTAAAATGTACAAAGCATCAGGATCCACACCTAGAGAGCTCTTGTTTTGATGCTCTTGGAGGTTTATCCCGCTGCCATGTCCATCAACGTCCATGGAGTGCAAGTCCTTACTTGGATTTAAAGACAGCAGCACTTTGCTCATGGCAGCTTTAAAGCATTCATGGTAAGCTACGTCATTGAGCAGGGCAATTTCTGTGGATTCCAGCACACACACTGGAGTGCTGCCATCCTGTTTGGTGCTTGTCTGAAGTCCAGCCAGAGCATTACATAATTCAGCCTCATTGCCCAAACTCAGCGTGTTGTCTCTGTCACTGAAATCCATCCCACACTCTGAAGGCAAAGAAGAAATCTTCTGGATCTTCAAGTAGCAGTCTTGGCAGCAAACTTCCATCATCACAGTATCCCCAGTCTTCACAGAATAATCTTGGCAAAAGAGCATAAAAAAAGTCGTGTCAGTTACTTTACAGATTCATCACTGAAGAGCTTTATGGTGATTGAAACAAACAAACCAACCAACCCACCCCATTATCTCATTT